AAAGGTCATAAAGTGAAGACTGCCAATGCGTGTGTATCTATATGAAGCTTTTATTTTTATCATTATCATCAAATTCAGCCCAAAGCTTTGATGATAACTCGCTGACTCGCTCCAGCAGAGAAGCGTTCACACCCCGGTAATAAAGATGTTCCTGATCGGCACTTTGAAGGGAAACTGTGACGGAGGTGTGGCTCGTCCTGAGCGCCCTTGGCCTTTACTGACAAGATTGCTTTCACACACACTGCAGTTTTTCACATAAATTCTATCTTTGACTGACTTTTAGCACCTTCTGATGTCAAAATGTAGATCTGCGGAAACAGGTCAAACACGCTACAGCGGCCCAAAAGACTTCCATTATGAGAAACGCGCTGCATGAACGAAACTCTGCAAGAAGCTCAAAACACAACGAAGAGCAGGGGACACTAAAAAGTGACGCACACAGCTGGGAGACCAGGGGACACTAAAAAGTGACGTACACAGCTGGGAGACCAGGGGACACTAAAAAGTGATGCACACAGCTGGGAGACCAGGGGACACTAAAGAGTGACGCACACAGCTGGGAGACCAGGGGACACTAAAAAGTGACGCACACAGCTGGGAGACCAGGGGACACTAAAGGGTGATGCATACAGCTGCGAGACCAGGGGACACTAAAAAGTGACGCACACAGCTGGGAGACCAGGGGACACTAAAGGGTGATGCATACAGCTGGGAGACCAGGGGACACTAAAGAGTGACGCACACAGCTGGGAGACCAGGGGACACTAAAGAGTGACGCACACAGCTGGGAGACCAGGGGACACTAAAAAGTGACGCACACAGCTGGGAGACCAGGGGACACTAAAAAGTGACGCACACAGCTGGGAGACCAGGGGACACTAAAGAGTGACGCACACAGCTGGGAGACCAGGGGACACTAAAGAATGACGCACACAGCTGAGAGACCAGGGGACACTAAAGAGTGACGCACACAGCTGGGAGACCAGGGGACACTAAAGAGTGACGCACACAGCTGGGAGACCAGGGGACACTGAAGAGTGACGCACACAGATGGGAGACCAGGGGACACTAAAGAGTGACGCACACAGCTGGGAGACCTGGGCCCTTTCTCATGTCATCAAATGTCCCTCCTCGACTCCTCGACTCCTCGGTCCTCCGGTAGTGACCCGGAAATGAATTTTAGCGCGCCATGTTGAAGGACATCTCATTTCTCGAAATGCACATCGAGGACCGAGCATCGAGCGTCGAGGAGGCTCTCTGGAGGAGCTATAACCGAGGATACACTGATGGGTCCTCCACGGTCCTCCGCTCGCATCTCCTGTGGGCGGGACTAAGTCTCGAGGATAGGAGTCGAGGAGGGGAGTCGAGGAGGGACATTTGAAGACATGAGAACGGGCCCAGGGGACACTAAAAAGTGACGCACACAGCTGGGAGACCAGGGGACACTAAAGAGTGACGCACACAGCTGGGAGACCAGGGGACACTAAAAAGTGACGCACACAGCTGGGAGACCAGGGGACACTAAAAAGTGACGCACACAGCTGGGAGACCAGGGGACACTAAAGAGTGACGCACACAGCTGGGACGGAGTGCTTGGTGACGTTCAGGATTATAAAGCTGGACAACTGTCTCTGTTGTTCGAAACTCACCTAAAATGTTTTATGGTCTTATTTTAACAATGTGAACACATGACACTTCTGATGTTACTGCAGATCTGCTGTAAGCTAGCTAGCTACCTGGTTTCCGTTTTGAGCTTCTTGCAGCGCGTTTAGTAAACCCTGCACATGTGTTGTCAAGTTGGTGAAGATGTTTCTTCATCTGCATGTGTGTTTTTATATATGCATCGTCTCTGAAGCTGCAGCATGTTTCTCCTAGGTGGAATGTTTTGGGCCGTTGTAGCTCATTTTCACTTGTCGGCCGGTTTAGATCACACTAAAACCAGATTACCTAAACATTCAAACAACTTCTTGCTCCCTTTTAGTTCCTGTCAGGCATACTACTTTCAAACTTCACCCGTGGATTTCTGTGCTGGCTTGAAGTGTGCGACAGCTTTAAGAAGCAAAAAAGACTCTTTAAAACCAGCTGAGCGGTATCTAAATGAGGCATAATAGATGTGAGAGTGACATAACCATGTTGAAGGGATGTAAGCAGCCTGACAGGAACATTGCTTCTAGCAACTCCTGTGTTGCATTAGTGATGGTTTTCCAGGAGGCGCTCACAAAGAGTCTTCAGAGCGACTCCTGAGCCGCAGCCAAACCCGGAAAAGCCCCAAAACAACAGGCCATGTGCACAAGGCCCCGACACCGCCTCGTGTTGTTATTCATAACCCGCCCTCAACCCAGGCCAAATCTATTACCCCCCCACTTCACAAAAATATATAGGTCATTCCGGTTCTAAAAATGGCTGCCTCTCCCTGGGGCTTGCCAGAGCATGAAATAGACTTTACATCACGTTAGCCAAGCAACGGCAAACCAGGAAACGTTCCCTTTTTTTGGGGTGGTTGCTCATTTTTCATCCCCCTTTTGTTGCTGTAATCTAACATATGGCGCTTCTCTCACTCTCCCCTCCTCTCTCCCAGTTTATGACCTGAATAAGATATCAGCAGTTTGCCAGGTTTGGAATATGACAGGCGAGGCACAAGTCATGTAGAGATTTAGATAATATGGTCTCGGGAACACTTTACAATGGTTCCCACCTCTGCCTTCCAGACTTCCCTCTACGCTGATAAGCAGGAATTCGGGGGTGGATTTCAAAAACGCTTCGGATTTGCAAAGTGCATGCTGATATGGCGAAGGCAGTCACATGATAGACAGCACAATTACTTCCTACCTGTTTAAAATGCTGCCTGTCCCCTCAACCAGTCGCAGATTAATTGCAAAATCCACTCTTACTTTGGGTAGTGGCTCCAGAACACAATATGCAAAAATAAGCTGCTCTTGCCTCCATTGTGGTTTTTGACAACGCAATTTATGGAGGCATGCTCACTTGCAGCAAATTGGATAATGCAGAGGAAATTTGCTGTAGATTTTAACACATTTCTAGATGCTCTTTCCTCCACAACCATATCATTTAAGTTTTTAATTTTCCACCTCCTACCACTATATGTCCAATGCATAAATTCCCTGGTGACTGTCCCTTGAAATGGCCTCATGTTTATTTAAACTCAGAAGGCGGCGGTTGAAGCGCCCGCTGCCCCGTTCCCTTTATTTCTGTGGTGTTTTTCTTTTAGCCAGCCAACCTCGGAGCCATTCATCAGCCGGGCTAAGTGTAGCTACAACGCAGAAAGGGCTTCACCACAATGAGTGTGACATCAGCTCTCCGCACAAACCAGCGGGCGTGTCAAAGAGAAGCACAATTACAGAGGAAGAGGTGGAGAAACGGCCATGAACAGGGAGAAGGAAAAACGAAATAAAGGGGCAGGGTCAGTCGTGTAGCTTCTAATTTTGGTTGTGGCTCGAGTACTACTTTGTTCCACCAAAGGCTTTCATGCTACCAGCAAGACCGACAGACAGAATAGCTACTGAATTAGCAAAGACCACACTCGAAAATACCAAGCACACACACACAGGAGAGTTGAGTAAAGGAGGCCCTCTTCAACTTTTTGGGGGGGTTTCCCTTTCCTGCAATGTGTTATAAAGGTTTAATGGTCTGTAAAGGGTGAAATAAAAAAAAATTTTTGTACGTAACAGAGACGGCCAGCTAACCAATCGTAGCAGACTGGGCTCTGGTTTCAGACGGAGGGTGAAAAGAGGTGCTGCAGCACATGCAGTAAGAGAAAAATAAAGAGCTTTTTGAACATTAAAGCATGGAGACATGTAGAGACACTACATACTGATATACACCTGAACATCAGCAGGAGAGGACTCTTTAAAGTAGAGACACTACATACTGATATACACCTGAACATCAGCAGGAGAGGACTCTTTAAAGTAGAGACACTACATACTGATATACACCTGAACATCAGCAGGAGAGGACTCTTTAAAGTAGAGACACTACACACTGATATACACCTGAACATCAGCAGGAGAGGACTCTTTAAAGTAGAGACACTACATACTGATATACACCTGAACATCAGCAGGAGAGGACTCTTTAAAGTAGAGACACTACATACTGATATACACCTGAACATCAGCAGGAGAGGACTCTTTAAAGTAGAGACACTACATACTGATATACACCTGAACATCAGCAGGAGAGGACTCTTTAAAGTAGAGACACTACATACTGATATACACCTGAACATCAGCAGGAGAGGACTCTTTAAAGTAGAGACACTACTGATTATACACCTGAACATCAGCAGGAGAGGACTCTTTAAAGTAGAGACACTACATACTGATATACACCTGAAACATCAGCAGGAGAGGACTCTTTAAAGTAGAGACACTACATACTGATATACACCTGGACATCAGCAGGAGAGGACTCTTTAAAGTAGAGACACTACACACTGATATACACCTGAACATCAGCAGGAGAGGACTCTTTAAAGTAGACACTCCATACTGATATACACCTGAACATCAGCAGGAGAGGACTCTTTAAAGTAGAGAGAATACATATTGATATGAAGCTGGAAATGAACATAATGTCCTCTTTAGTGTTCATGTTGTGTATTTTATAATGAAAGCTCTTCCAAATGAAAAAAAATCGAATCTAATTGTCACAAAATATCTCACACTGCCACAGTAAAACAGTTATAAACTCATCTTCCAAATATGGATAAAAGAGAAGGATCCTAGTTGAGTGGAGAGCACAACAAAGGAAGCCCGGGCTTGGATCCAAATTAGAGGGAAGATGAAGATATGAAAAGATCAAACCCGAGATGAGGAATGAGAAAAAAGGGAGAGGAATTGGCGAACGCTGACATCCAGCTGAGCCTCACTGAATCAACTTTTAAAGGCGATGTAGACTCGAGGCAAAAATCGCCTGCAACTTACTCTGGGAAATAATGAAAAGAATCAAGAAAGAGCCCACACACAGAGTAAGTGTATATATCTATATATATATATCTTCATTTATTTTAATATTTAAACCCACTAAAAGTTGTCAATACAACTTTTGAATGAAAGGCACAGGAAAAAATCAGACAATGCTGATATAATACTCAAAGAAAACAAAGAAATTACAGTACAAAAGTGGACAGTTAGTTACGCACGTACAAATCCCTCCAGGTCCTCCATTCAGAGGAAATATTTCTGACACAACAAAAGGAGGGCGAGGGGGGGGGGGTTCAAAACCAGAAATCCATTAGCCAAACTTGTCTTTATTGCTTTTCCTCATTGACAAGTTTAACGTCAGCTCCCAGGGTCTCGCACATTACAAAAAAAGCAACTGCTGTGCTTTCCAGTTTCCCCCGAACATGGAGTGGCTCATAGTTACTTGATTATCTGTTGACCGAGCTACACACAACTCCACTGGGCCTGATTCACAACATCTAAAACAGATGAAATACATAACACACAGAGCCGAAGAGGGGTTTTTCTTTACGGGAGTTAAGACCTCTCATACTCCATTACCAAACAAGCCTGTATTTGTGATTTAATTCGTTGGTCCGCTGAGTGTAAAAACAACCAAAAACCGCTAAGTGGTGCTGAGCGTTTAAATATTAAACAAGAGATTTCTGGGCTGCAACATTTTAAAAGCGCAAATTTGGGATCCCTTTTTGAACATTGACTTGATGGAGGTTAGTGCGCTCAACACCAGCGGGAGGCGTTTGACAGTGGGATTCATTTATCAATTAAACACATTTAAGGAGAACTCGACACTCGAGGCCCGCTGCTTTGCTGTTATTGTGTTTTCTGGACCTCTTAAGAATCACTTCATTTCCCTCTTTCATTAAGTCGAGATGTTTTTTTTAGCAGAAAGAAACATTAGTTTATTATATGGGAGGTCAACAAAAGCAGAGGGGGTTATTATGGGACGTCTTTGAAATCAGCCTGCCATCTTTTATAGGATTGTGTACACATTGCTTTGGACAGCTCTACTGGGGAACAACTGGAGGGAGAGGTGCTGTCACTGTACTGCTCAGGTTCTTAATATTACATATAGCCTCTTTGGTATAGGCACATCTGCATCAAGGGACCACTGTCCAATATTTCCCTTCCTTTTCCTATGTGCAGCTGTCTCACTCTTCCTATTGGAAAGGAACAAAAAAAACACTCAAAAAGATGATTGCCAACTGGAACCTGGAAATCAAGTGATTGATTGGAGTAGCAGGAAATTAGACTTCTATAGCTGTCAAGGGTTTTCTTTTGCTCCCGCATGAAAAAACCAACCCCCCCCCCCCCCCATCCCGACCCCCTGCCTCTCCTCTCGACCTGACAGCAGGAGATTCATGCTGCTCCGCCTTCCCTGCAGCCATGCTACAGCGAGAGAAAAAGCCATGGCACAGCAGAAATGTGACGCACCAGTATGCTTAAACTCAGCCCTGAATGAAATAAAGAGAGGTCCTGGGTGCGAAATAAAACAGATTCAATGTTATAAAACAGCAGTTCAGGGGGGGGGATGTGGTCTGTGCGACGTCGCTGCCCTTGTTGCTAGGATACTCTGGTTTGCGGTAGCTCGAGTCCAATGTAGTGCGAGTACCAGAGCCCCTTTTCCCCACCCCACGGATGGCAGCCCACCCTGGGAGAGGAGAGGTCGCCTCACCCCCCTCTCTGCCCTGGTTCTGAAGAGGCCACACTCCTTTTCACCACAGTCAGGTGAAAGCTAAACTTAAATCTGCTTTTCATGTTTGGATTCTTACACTTCCTGATGCAAGACCCTCTGACTGCACAAAGGGGAGCGAATGACATCATGTAGGAGAACCAGGAGCGTGAGAGTTCGGAGATGAAGAGCACAGTCTCTCTGGGGGCGAACGCCGACTACGTTCATTACCTGGCGGTGACGGAGGAGGACGAGGCGGCCAGCTGGGTGAGGTATTTCCCGCAGCTCTTTGGCCGCCTGGAAGCGTCCGTATCGCTTTTTGGGTCGTGTGCACTCGTCCAACAGGCTCTCCAGCTGTCCGTCTTTGGCTATGTGGGCGGGGGGGTCGTGGAGGAGACCCCCTGTGGTGCCCCGCCACGTGGCGTAGCGCGACAGCAGGTTCTGGCACACGGCGTAGTAGTTGTGGTCCACGGTGACCCGGGTGCAGAGCGAGTCTTTGGAGAAGGACAGGCAGGCCTCGCGGTCGCACTCCTCGAAGCGACTCTCGTACCACACGTCGAAGTTCTCCGGCTTATCTGCAAGGAGACAGGAGAGGGGGGTCAATTAAACTGCAATTAAAACACAATGATCAAAATCAATGTCTTGTAGGGCTGTGCGATTATGGCAAAAATCATAATCACGATTATTTTGGTCAATAATTGATATCACGATTATTAAATATGATTATTCATGACTTTGAAAACATCTATTTATTGAACTTTTAAATACAAATAATAATTTGAACAGTATCTTTTTAACTGGTGATTTCCCTGAGCGTATAATTCAACTGAAAAACCAATACAAAAATAAATTAAATAAATGATACATTTATATTTACATTTAAATAAATAATATCAAAATAATAAATACCAATAAACAAGATCAACAAATATTTTGGAGTGCACTTCAACAAGCTACTAAACGTATGTAAATATGATAAATACAAATACATTTGATCAAATATGTTGCAGTGCACTGTCACAACCTAGCAAAGCAAAATAATCGTTTTTTTCGATTATGTTGTTTTCGTAATTGTGGCAGGCAAAATCGTAATTGCGATTAAAATACGATTAATTGCACAGCCCTAATGTCTTGGTTCTAACACAGAGCACATAGCATATAGGACAGATAACCAACCGGCAGTTTATAAGTTATAAAACTTCTCAGATATTCCTTTTCTTTAACTGTTATTAAAATGTCAAACAGCTATAGGTTGAAAACTGATCTTGAAAGAATACACCCAACTGTTGGACAGCATATGATTAGTAAGAAGAACTATTTTAGTAAAGGTTTGTGCAAATTATTAGCCAAGAAATCAACGTGACTAGAAGGGTAAGGTGCCATATTCGACAACCCAAGGGCACTAACGGGAAATTCTTTTTTCCCTGCACACAGCTCATCTGCACTTTTATTTGACAGAAATGAACCACTTTCCAGATTTATTGGGCAAATAAAGATTATTTCTCAAGCTCATTTCCCACAGCTTTTCCTCTTTAGGGGATTGTGCCGTGAAAAGGAGAGAGCCAAGAATCTAGGAATGATGAGAGAGCGATCGGTTTGTGCATTAAAACGATCGATAGTGTTGTCGGGCGGGAGAGGAGGGGGCGGGACCCAGAGGACGCAAAGACGTAATCAGCGAATCAGCGTTTGTAATGCACTTCTCCTCCGGCTCATCAGAACGACTCAATCAAACATCCAGCGCTGCCCTGTTAGCAAGGGGCCCCTGTGGCCCCCCGAAGAGGAGGGGCACATCAACCTCAATCAGTGAAGGTGATGGAGATGGATCTGAGTGCGTGTGCACGAACACGAGCGCACACACACATGCAAATAGAGACGTTAGCGCGGCAGCAGCAAGGTGAGGTGAAAGCAATTAATGTTTTAGAGCTGGCCATGCATCAAACCACAGCACTGATTGACAGATGGCATCGGGAGAGTGTTCCTACACGCACACACACACACACACACACACACACACACACACACACACACTGACAGAGAGCCTAAAGTGAACAGAAGGGAGGGGAAGGTTCAAACTCAAGGACGACGATGAGCACAGCAGAAAAAGTACTTTCAACTGCAAGAAGTCTGAGGTCTATTTACTTGCACCCCAATCCGCTCTGTTCTGCTCTTACAGCTGGCCCTAACAAAGACGGAATATTTCCAAAGCAAATGAAATCATTTCCAATTCAAATGAGCGGGGGCCACCTAGCCTCTCTCGCCTCTCTCGCCTCCTGCACCCTTCCATGTTAAGGAGCTCGGGTCAGACTTGTATACATTCACCTCACACTTCTTCTCCTGTCTGCAGCGAGGAGGGACACCGGTCTGAAATGCTTGTTAGCGCGGCCTTACTTGCATTCAGGAGTACGAGCATGTTTTTACAAAGCAACTCCGGTTAGAGTGCATTATTGAATGTGGGAGAAAGAAAGAACAGAGTGTGTGTGAAGTGTGTTTGCATTGTGCCAGGGAGCGGAAGAGAATGAGTGGAAGTGTGTGTTGCATTATACAGCATGTGTCTCTAAAAAAAAAAAATAAACATTCACTGGGGGTGAAACCATCCTCAAACACTATAAACTCAATGATGGGGAATGGGTTCTTCCGCACCACTGGACTGTGCAAACACAACTTGAAAACACAGTTTTATCTCGCTGCATCCCATATGAAGGCCCCGGACAAGAGGGGTGTGTATTTTCATGTGTCTCTCTGCGTGTTTGAAGATCAATTGGCTTCGGTTACGACTGATGAGATCACACACTTTAACTCGCCTTCAATCTCGGCCTCTAATTGTAAGGGATTGGATTTTCTGCTTGTGGAGCCTCGGGGAGGTTACGGCGCCTATTTCCTGTCCGACACGTGGCCGTGACCTCGTAATATTCATCATTACCACCCTCTCCTTTGTGCTGGGCAAACACACACACAAACAGATCAGACACACAAACTGGCGGTAGGCACGTAAACATTCTCTCGGATTAGACTCTGAATGGCCGGGGTAAGCAGCTTGAGTCGCCGGGCTCTAAATGTGTCGGCCAGACAAAGAGAGTCTCAACCTGGATTGTGCTTCTGGACGTTCAAAGGGCTACTGTAATGGGGGTGGAGAATTGCACCCACTGGCAATAAGATGAATAAGTTTAAAACACGGCACACACACAGGCGGAATCACAGAGAGAAACTAAGGGAAGGCCTTGACGGGGCACACTTCGAGATGGGCGGCGAGGAGCGGGAAGGGGGCAAAGGGGCACACACACACCACCACACACCACACACACACACACCACACACACACACACAAACACACACACACACACACACACACACACACACACACACAACACCACACACACACACACACAACACACACACACACACACACACACACACACACACACACACACACACACACACCACACACACACCACACACACACACACAAACACACACAACACAACACACACACACACACAAACACACACACCACAACACCACACACACAACACACACACACCCCGTACACCCACACACACACCACACCCCACACACACACACACACACACACACAGCACACACACACACACACACACACACACACCCCCCCCACATCACACACACACACACACAACACACACACACACACAACACAACACACACACACACACACACACACACCACAACCACACACACACAACACACACACAAGTTTATCACTGTAATAGGATTTCTGCAGGAGGGGATCAATCTAAAGGCCTGACTGGGTGGTCCTTGTGAACGTATCCCCCCAGGACTGTAGCACACTGCCATCCTGCTGAGGGTGTTGTATGTATAGCTTACTCCTTCTTGTATGAGGTTTAATTCTGAGAGGGCAACAACTCGGGCACGCAGAGATGGCTTGTTTATCCGAACTTTTGCTTTGATTGGGACGCGTTGTCGGAGGGGTTGCTGGAGGAGTGGTTATTCTAGAAGAAGAGGGAGAATTTGAGCATGTGTAAATTTGCACACAGCCTTTCAGTCCCCTGAGACCTCTCCTCGAAGCTTGCACCAGAAAGTGCAGTTGATGGTTGAGACATACAGCGCATTGTTTTCTACAGAGTTCAACATGTGGTCAGTGTTTAGAATCACTCTGAGGCTTTTGAGGAACAACTACTGCATGAGAAGACAAGCGAAGAACCGGTGCTGTCAAGTTATACGTACATTTACTCAAGTACTGTACAAGAGATCCTTGTACTTGACATGAGTATCTCCATTTTCTGCTACTTTCTATTTCTACCCCACTACAATTCAGAGGTAAATGGTGTACTTTTCCTCCACTACATGTATTTAATACCTTTAGTTACTTTACAGATGTGGATGAATGATGTGAAATATAACCAAGTGTTAAATCAGACTTTAGTTCCACCTGGAGTAAATTCACAAGCTACCCTGCAGTATACAAAGTCATTCAAACTAGCTGCACCTTTACCAGCTTTGAGAACACTTTCATGATCAATCATTATAAAACATATAATATATATTATTCTGAAATGGACCAATCTGCACAATGACTACTTTTACTGTCGCTACTTTCACTATATTTTGATGAGAATACTTTTATACTTTTACTTGAGAAACATTTTGAATGCAGGACTTTTACTGTGACAGAGTATTCCTACACTCTGGTACTTCTACTTTTACTCAAGTATAAGATCCGAGTACTTCTACTTTTACTCAAGAACAAGATCCGAGTACTTCTACTCAAGTACAAGATCTGAGTAATTCTACTTTTACTCAAGTACAAGATCTGAGTACTTCTACTTTTACTCAAGTACAAGATCTGAGTACTTCTACTTTTACTCAAGTACAAGATCTGAGTACTTCTACTTTTACTCAAGTACAAGATCTGAGTACTTCTACTTTTACTCAAGTACAAGATCCGAGTACTTCTACTTTTACTCAAGTACAAGATCCGAGTACTTCTACTTTTACTCAAGTACAAGATCCGAGTACTTCTACTTTTACTCAAGTACAAGATCCGAGTACTTCTACTTTTACTCAAGTACAAGATCTGAGTACTTCTTCCACCTCTGCTTCAGTAATTTGTAGAAGATGTAGTTTTAGGGTAATGTAAATACTGTCCTGTAAAAAGGAGCATGTACTTCCTCTGCATCTCCCAGCTGCGGTGTCGCCTAAAGGTGTAACCCACATGGAATCGTCATAGCAACTGGGGAAATAAGAAATCACTGGCAGACATATGGACGTAAACACCCACACATACAGTACAGGAGATGTTAGTACTCACTCTGCTTGATCAGCCTTTTGTCTGCCACCAGAACGTTCTCCGCGTCGACGACGATGACCTTCCCGTCGCGTGGGCCCGACCGCGAAGTTATCGAAGCTGACGTCGAGCAGGTAGAGGGCGAACTCAAGTCGTTGTTGGTGAGCTGCTCGGCGATGTCCATGAGCTGACGCGCCAAGTCTACCCTCTTCTCCCAGGGCGCGTTGTAGAAGCTCCACAGCTCCTCGCCCACGTAGTTGACAGCCACCATGCGCCCACACGCTCCCAGGTACTTGGCGAACGGCCACCCTTCGTCTGAGGGGAAGCTCTGCAGGAGGAGAATCACAGGAGAATGTTGTTTTTAGAAATAGATAAAAGAAGCGCTGTAATGTAGCGTTGGCTGAAAGAAAAACCAGAAATACCCTGTTGGATTTTTTAAAAACGCTAACACATTAGTGCGAGGACCTTCGCAGTGTCAGAAAACATTTGTTTGACTTGCACAGTATCTAAATAAAGAAAAGGAAAAGAAAAGAAACCCCAGACATCAAACACAGAGAGCTGTGGGCAGCCGTGGGGAATGTTTAAAACACAATGCTAAGCACAACGGTGGAGAATCTGCCAAAGGATCACATGAATCCGAGCCAGCACAGGTTATAACGGATTAGATTTAATAAAAGCCAGTTTGTGTTAAACCCACCCCCCCCCCCAGCTATGAGCTGATACACTCAGTGCTTCCAGAGAAGTGATGGGAGGTGATTTGTGGTAGCAGCAGTTAGCAGGAAGCCTCATGTGTTGTGATGCAGCAGCGGGGCGATTTAAACTGCTGCATGATGTTTCCAACCGAGTTAATGCAGTTTGGGCGTGTTGACAAGAAAACCCCGTGTATTACAAGGTTAAAACTGATTAATAATAACAAGGTAGTGGCATCACCGCTGCAGACCCTAATCTCTCTCAGATTCCCTCCATTTTTTTTAAGCTCAAACAAACACAGGCAGCCATTATGTGCAATCGCTCAAAGTCAAATGGAAAACTTAAATGAGTTGGCTGTGAGGCAGCTGCATCGCGTTGCTAAGGGACTGCTTTCTGTATGTCTGCTGCTTCCCTCCCTCTCATGAGCTCAGGTGACTCACGCCCTCCATACATCACTTTCTTTTTCTACCGCTCCAAATCCCCCTTTCTGGCAGCCCACAAGTGATAAGCTCCCATCTTTTACAATAAACCCCCCTGCCATAGGGCCCCTATCTCTCTCCATAAACACCCGGCCATATGCTAGTTTAATGATAGCCCGCAATTTCTATGTAACAAATCTCTCCTAGGCTGCTGTTTCTGGCAGGCAGCCGCCGCACAGACAGAATCAGGAGTTCATGTTTCACAGGAGCCTCAGTACCCACCCTCCCTTTCCGAAAACTCGGGTTGCATCGGAGATAAGGCAGCGAACGCACCGTGTCACTCCAGGTAAGGTGTGAACTACTATGACTGTTGAGTCTCACTTTACACATGGAGGTAATTTAATACTTCGCCAGCCTTCAATTCATGTCCAGAGGGGGGGTTTTAAATATGCATGGCTGCCCTAACTCCCTTTAAATTTTAATGCAATACAAATTATTTAAAAACATACATTTTAACCCACCCGCTGGCCAACCAGCTGCTGTATCTCAAAGAAAACAGGTGGACCTCTGCCACACAGAGGCTGTGGTGCAAAATGTGACAAAGAAATCACCGCGGATATGCTGCGAAATGAAATTAGAGCCACATTGAGTAGTGTTTGGACATTTTGTCTCAAACCACGCTGCTCTTAAGCTCCCTTATTACATCTCTTGACTGGGATTTAATTTTCTGAGTGCCAGAGTTGGGAGAAGCACTCAGATCTTGAAATGTACTTAGTTACTTTAACCACTGCTTGAACACCAAAGCATAGGATCCCCACCTGTGCTATCGAACACCTAAACCCAATTAATGCATTGCAAGGGGGCTTTAAATGGACAACAACCTTGGAAAACAATACTTTCACACTGTGTCTATACCATAGGTGGCTCTTCTGTTAGATCCTCCACCAAGAGAAGGGGGGGGGGGGGGACAATTATAAGTTACAGTCTTATCCGAGCCCATTTCCCTGAGGTGACCCAATCAATTGCAGGCCAGACAAAAGTCTTTCCAGGAAGCGCTGCCGTCTTCCAGAAGCCTGTCTGTCTGTCCGAGTCTGTCGTACTTACACTTGGCAATGATTCACCTCAACCTCCTCGGAAAAACCTCTTGTCTAATAGCCTACCTCTACATTTTCTGATATAGCAAACTTGACAGGAAGGGGAATCTGAGGAAGCAGATATGTCTCGAAAAACTCTTTTTCTAAAAAGGAGAATGGTGGGCTGACTGACTGCACTCCCAAATACTGAGCGTACGTGTATCCTGCCAATGGGCATTCCTACACAGGAGATTTTAGGATTAGTGAATTAACAGGCTAAATATCTAAAATGGCTTTCTGATTTTTTTTTTAAGTATACACAGATTAGGCTGGATCAGTTGGATCCCTATTAGGCCCGCCAATCTAAGCGGCTCTCGGTCTTGTTGACAAAACTTAGCCTGTCCAATGTTTCGGCTTTGTAAAACATAAAAAGCCACCCTCTCTCTCTCTCTCTCCCTCTCTCTCTCTCTCTCTCCTTCTCCTCTGGGTGGGTAAATGTGTTGGAGAGGAGAGAACGACAAACAGAAGAGACAAACAAGACTGTCTTTCACTTCCTCGCTCCAGTGGACAGGAGGAATAAACCAGCAAAGACCTGCCTGCTAAACACATCTCTCTCTTTGTTGTCAGGTTGCCGCCTGAATGGGAGGAAAAGTAGAGAGACGGCAGATGGGGGGGAGGGAGGGAGGGAGGGGAAGGATGAATGCCCTGAGGCTACTTTCAGACACTGTCAACGGCTGTTATGAGAACGCCTTCATGTCTGTCCGGCCCTCGTCCGCGGGTCTTAACAAAGATGTCGCTCATTCTCCACGTCAATTAGCGAGGGCTTGACAACTCATACCTATTTTTATGAGCCTCCTATATTTAATATGCCCAAAGTCTAAAAAGTGAGAGCTACTTAACAGGCAGACAGTGTCCACAATTATAAAAGTGTGTAGAAAACCTTCCTTTTTTAAAGATGACTATGTTTGTCCTCCTGAGTCCTACATTTGATGGTATGTCTTCTATTGGTTATTGTATTTTTTACTGTTGTATTCTGTATCTATTTTACTTGCATTTCACATTACTTATTTATAATTTGCTTGTTGTTAACACCGTTATCTATGTGTGTTTATCTGTAAAGCCAACCAATGTTGTGCTATTTAAATAAACTTTGATTTGATTTGACAGCGTAAGCATGCACATGGAAGTGGGCATCATGAGCAGCATTCAGATTTAAAATGGCCCAATGCAGAGCCGGATAAATACTCCACAAGTCCAACCAATCATTCTCCCTTAGTGCGCTTTAAACGGTTACTCTGCAGAAGTCATTAACGTCCGCAATGAGGCGTTGAGGAGGGGGGGGGGCTGGAGGAAATAAATTGGAAAGCCCAGTCTCCATGCATGTGTGTGAGCTTGCATGTGTGTGTGTGAGCTTGCATGTGTGTGAGCTTGCATGTGTGTGAGCTTGGATGTGTGTGAGCTTGCATGTGTGTGAGCTTGCATGTGTGTGAGCTTGGATGTGTGTGAGCTTGCATGTGTGTGAGCTTGCACGTGTGTGTGAGCTTGCATGTGTGTGAGAGCTTGCACGTGTGTGAGCGTGCACGTGTGTGAGCTTGCATGCGTGTGGCCTCACAGGTAGGGAGTTTTAAAGTCGTCTCTCGATGTGATTCACAAATTGCTGATGGTGCAAATCTGCCAAAGTCACATCTCAGCGACTTTTACGGCTTTAAAAAAGGTCTTATCACTTCTTGTTCCTGTCATTGGATAAAAAACCTTTTATCTCCAGCTTAGCAAAACCTTTGACTTATAGAACCTCTTTTTTTGTACGTTTTATGGCATTTCTTGCAGTGTTACAGAGACGGAAAGTGAGAGTGGGAAAACAGGATAGTCATTACAGACGACCTCACAGTGACTTCTAGGTTCAAGTCTGACTAATCTAATCTTAAAGGTTGTGTCAGTGCACTAGAGTAGCCTTGATTTAGGGGGAGGGGGGGCTTTTTCCCCACTCCCCTCACTGTAATACAACAGACACACAGGCATCCTCTTGGGGGGAGATTGGAGAGGGCTGAAATGAAACAGGGCCACAGACAAATGGGCAGCCTCTGGAGGAGAGGATGAAACGAATGGAGCGAGCGGCACAGGAACACACACCTGCGTCCTGACATCTGCTGACAAAGGCATGCCCTTCTACTCAGCCACTCGGGGGAGGGCGTGGGCGTGTGCGTGTGCGTGTGCGTGTGTGAGAGAGAGAGTTCAAAAAGGGGCTCTTTGTGTGTCTGTGTGAAACTGTATCCAAGTGCATGTGAATGAGAACATGCAACGTGACCAGGGCTGATAACAACCTCCATTCAGTGGTCGAGTAAACATGAGCGGCTCCCGAGATATTGCCTTGGCTGGTCTGCAAAGAACACTGGTCCGTCAAATGCAGACACACACACACACACTGAGCGGTGTTTATACAAGATTTATAAAGAACGAGTTGGCTTCATCCTTCAACCACAACTCCTCACAGCAGCAGGGAAATTAGTAGTTTCCCACAGAGGTGTTTCATGTGTGTGGCTTGTTAAAGCTTTGAGCAGGGTGTGGTGGAAAATTCTCAACATTTTCTGTCCTCTTCAAAATCCCACTGCATCACAGCAAACAAGTTGGGACAGGACTCGGCAAGAGTGCAGGGATCAAATGGTAAAAGTTGAGGAAGCGTGGCGGACAGATGCTACGTTCACAACAGCACAGCACAGCACAGCACAGAAAAAGCCTTTCAACCCCCGATGTTACAAAATGAACATTACTCAGCCTGTTTATCAAAAGGGGCTTAGCGCTAAGAAGGAGACACATCTGCTCCGCGACGCTTGAAACGCTGCTTTTCTGTGCGGCTCTCCTGGTGACCTTGTGTGTCTGGAGGATGGAGGCGAGCCCCGTCTGGCATTCTGCTGGACATTTAAGTTTAAAATCCAGTTGGTTAGTTCGCAGCGAGAGCTCAGGCCCCACAGGGTAGCCGGGCTCTAACTCCTCGTTCTGGCACACATGGCGCGATCCCTTTCTTCCCGTATGCTGCTGTTTCTCCTGCTAACCCTGCTTTCTCTCCCTCGCTTTGTTCCACCCCCAAAAACCTGCAATACAGGGCAGTGATGCTGTCGGTTCCAGACATGCAAGCCAGGAAATGCCTA